GAAACAATAAAGAATGAAGTGAAAATCTTAGATCGACTACAAAAGAATTCCAATACACATAGAGCCAATGTGGCTCCAGTCTATCAGTGACCTGATCTTAGGAGTTTGACATTATTATACTATATTCATCATCAGAGTGTAGACATGATGAGTTAAACACATGTTCGAATAGTCTTTAGGATTTGCCTTACCCTTTAATTCACTCATCATGCCCTTGGGGATCATGCCGAGGTTACAAAAAGTATATATAAGGACTTCGATTAGTTTGTCTTACTCTGCAAGATTCCTCTCATTTCTATCACTTTTCTCAGCTGAGATGCTCCATTTCTCTTATTCCTTTTCGAAACCTTTCTCATCAAAATTTTCACTATCAGAAGACTTTAACTCGTGAAAAAGACCATGATTTTAAGGTGGAACTGTGGTTAAGAGCAACTCAACTCAGCAAAAAAAATGACGAAGTGAAAACCCTTTAGGAGAAAAAGAGATCTCAACAAGAATTGATTAGGTGGAATGAAAGTGACAACGGAAGCATCAATAGGAGAAAAAGTAAAAATAGAAAAAATTGATAAAACAAACCCTAAAAGGGGAAACAATCGAAACGAAAAGAAGGTATAGAAGATGGACCGACCTAAGAGATAGGAAAATGTGGTAGATTTTATAAGTTAAAATCTATTTGAGCACACGGCTTCTCTATGCTTAGAATCTGTTCTCCCTTTGCCTAAGTATTTTTTTTGTTTTGTTGTTTCACTTCCTTGGACATCGGGTTAAACCAATAGGTCATCATTTCATAATTACAGTCACTGATGACTCCGAAATTAGATCATCATCTTGTACGAGTTAACCATCATAGGTTTTACCCTATAACTCTCAGCTTTTTTAGAACTTACGTTAAAAGACATAGTTAAAAATACATACTGAAAAAAATGTGAAAAAACTTTAAGGCTAGAAAGCTTTTAAGGTCAGAAAATTTAGATTGGATTGAAAGCATGAAAAGAAAAAAGTGAAAAACTAAAGCCTCAACAGCTCTTTATATAGCCTCATGATAGATTAGATGAATGGCACAGATCATGTCATGCATCAAATTGAAGACAGACAGATATTTTTCATATTTCTTATCTAAAATTTCTCACTCAAACTACCTGTCTCCTCATGTAATGCTATCAGACTGACTAGATTGAACAACCTTAGGTTAGACTAACCAGATCAGACAAACCCTAGCTCAAATTGGCCAGATTGAACAACTCCCCTGAATAGATCAGATGCCCAACTCGTTGCCAAAGTTCAAAGTAAAGACCCAAATTCGAACTCTTGAAATAAAACACAAGTCTTACATCAATCAGATGAACTTCATTATTAACCTTAGATCATTCCAGACAATTAACACATCGGCGACCTTCAAGCAAACCATGCACTCAACTCAAGATGTACGCGTAAAAATAGACCCTCACCAGATCAAACCATGACTCCAAATTATTTATCTTTCGATACCAATCTCTTGCATGACGTTGGCTTCAAAAAATCACGTTTCACATCATCTTCTTCTACCTACCTAATCTATGTGGAACTTAGTGAGCATATGTTGAATAATCCGATACTCAAACTACTTGATGGGAGGACAAAATGTTAAGGACATTTAGTGGTCAAAAGGGCACGTAGTCTTTTTTCATGTTAGTAGCCTTCATCAGACAATCAGGGATAATTTTGATATTTACGTTGACCTAACATGTCAGGTCGATCTAACATTCTTAATATCACATCAGCTTGACAATATCTTTATTATCCCCTAATAGTTTTCTATCACTTATTTATAAATATGAAGGTCCAGGCACTATAAAGTTAACACACATCACTCCATCTTCTCTTTGTTACTCTTTTTTCGATCACATTCTTTCTAACTTATGCTATTACCTCTAACCACCTTTCTTTTTCGTCTTTTTAAAAATACCTGAGATTAGAACTCAATACAAACACATACTTCTCTGGAAATAGAACCCATTAATTTCACATAAAATATTAACTAAACGTATCAATGTTTGAATGGAAGAAATGAAAGTCAAAGGAAAAAATATATATTAAATTTAATAGCCTTGCATTGTAATTTTTGTTAAATGGCAGCTATGCCATCATCAAAATTACAAAAGAAAAGATAAAAATTAACCTACCTCATCAGGATTCAGGACCTGAAAATCAAGAAGCCTTCAATTATAAGTAACTAAAATTATTGGACAACATTTATATTCCTTCATTACCAGGAAAATGATGATGTTAGTTGACTAATGAATAATTCTATTGTTTAGAGAAAGAAAAAAGCAGCTGTGTTGTTAAGAATTAAAGATGTAAGCTCATTTTTATAACTAGACTACTACTAATACCAATAATTAGTTGCATAGTGCTAAATTTGATCATAGAAGATTAATGACTTAGCTGTTAAAACTTGTATTAGATTTCTACTTCCATTTTTCTTTGTGCAATTAATAATCTTGGCGATGATGTAACTCTATAGCTTAGTCTAAAAGAAAATTAAAAAAAAAAACCTTATTATGTAGATTTAATTAAGGGTTAATATCATATATTTGGTCCCTTTAAAAAATTTTCAACGTGATACCCATACTTTTAAAATATATAATATGGACTGTGTACTATTATTTTGTGTTACAAACCGGTACTCAATACTGACATTGTCAAGTGAAAATGATGACACATGATTGTCATCCAATCGTATGGCACACACACGTGAATGTTACGTGTCATAATTTATTTTAAAAATAATTTTTTTTTGTCTATTATCAATTATTGATAATTCATAATTTTGTGAGTTCATTTCGCTTTACTATTTCTTTGCGGGTATTTTAAGTTACATATTTAAAATAAAGCTTGCTGAAGCATAATTCATCTAAATTTCTGTCATTTCAGATTGCAAAGAGCACACAATGGGTGGAAATGGATGTGTTGTTTGATCATTAGTTCCTTATATGATGTAAATTGGCACTGATGAAGGAACTTAATTTTGGGTAATTTTAACACTGAGCTGGGATTGGTCCATATGCAATATTTCTTTAGCTAAAACCATGAAAAAAAATTTCGAAAAAGAGGAACATCAAGTAACAATATTGCCTTTTTTTTTTTTTTAAATGTTTTTGGTAATAATAACATTTACCTTGTAACAGTCATGCTAACGTGTCACTTAGTCGTTGGTAGGAAAAAGAATGTTTCATTTTTAGATTTCGATAATTTTTCTTAATTTTTCAATCTACTATCTAATTGGTGTCATTTTAATTAAATAGTGAAAATAAAAAATATATATCAAAATTCAAATATTTAAATAATCTTAAGAGTTATAAAGTTATTTTATTCATATCATAGAGAAACCTTGTATTATGTGCATTCATAAAATAAAAAAGAAAGTGAATATTCTATAAAGAGATTTTAAGGTAATCAAAACTGTTATATCTAAGAAATTTTTAAGTGAAAATATTTTTTTTAAATACTATTAGTGTATTAGAGTATTTATAAAAATTTTTAATATAATAAAATTTCTCTTTTCTTCTATAAAAAAGAATATGTTAAAAAAATATATAATAATAATTTTTTTAAAGAAAAATTAAATACATGCATCAATATTTTATCATTTGCATTGCACACGTATCTCCATTTTTGAAAAATAAATATAAGTATTCGAAGATGAGATTTTAAGGTAGAAAAAAATTATTTTAACGTTATCAATGTACTAAAATATTTTTAGAGCTTTTTTCAATAATAAGGTTTTAATTTATTTTTTGAATAAAAAAATAAAAAATGATGAAAACGACAAAAAGAGAAATCAAAAAAATTATTTTTAACATAAAATTAGAGATTATTTTTGTTAAGATTAATATATAACACATAATTAATTAATATCATTTTTAATAGATACTACAAGGATATTAATTATTTCTCACGTATAATCAAATCTCGAGTCCAATTCATTTTCTCAAACTCAAAAATTATTTTTTTAATAAATTTAATTAATTTAAAATGTTATTAAAAAAATAAATTTTAATAATTTATCATTCATATCTAATAAAAAAAATGATGTCCGACTCTATTTATTTTTAAAATCATGTAATAATTTCAAAACTGTTTTGATATAATATTCATAAATGTTTGTCCCAAATTGTCAAAAATAAGGAGACCACTTTCATTAACTGACGTGCAAATAGCACCACTATTACTAACAATCGTTTTCGCCTTCTAATTTCTAATTAAATATATGGGTTAATGGTACAAAGTTTTAAAAGCTAAACAGATTTTGTAGTTGATTCAAACGAAAGCTCATGACTCCGAAAAAATTGACTTCTACTTAAATTGTCCTCTTTATAACTGGCATTTCGGTTTTCAAATTTCACAATATATATCAATCAATCAAGTTTCAATTGAATATGAGATTTAATAAGTTCAAGATTTGAAAATCATGAATATTTATAAATTTTTTTTATTTTTAGATTGTATCTTTTTTATATATAAAAAAAAATCAATCATACAGAAGTAAAATATGTAATATTCTTTTCATGCATTAAAAATTATCAAATTAACTATTAATTATTGTATTTAACATAAAAATATTATTATAAATAATAATGTAATTAATTTTAAAGAGTGCTCTAAGAATATCGGGTAGCAAAATACAATTATATAATGAACCCTTGATTTATTATCATGTTCAATGGACTCGAATTTAAATATTTCATATAAGAATTAAAAAGAATTTAAGACTTTGATATTACAAAGAGAATGCAGCTAAAAGAATTAGAATTTGCAATATCTCATCATGTCATCGGTTGAAACATTAAAAAATCCTAAATATTGTACTTACATTCAAAAATTTCTCTCTTTTGTGTTTGGGCAGCCTAGGTTTTTTCACTTTAAGATTTTAGGGGGGGAAAAAAAAAGAGACGGGTGTATGAGCTGGCAACCTACAAAGTTGGATGGATATGATGGTGAAATGTGAAAGTGGAGTCTTAATCCAACGGCCAACATCTTCTACTCCAACTGTGGCATTCATTTCACCATTAATGACTTACACCAGCCCTTGTTTCAGTGATCTTGAATAATGTTTGATAGCTGCATTCTTTGTTGAGTGCAATACCCTTCACCGTATTTTTTCTTTTAAATCTCATTATAATCTGCGCTGTATTTGCTTAGATACTGTATCTTGGTGTTTTTATATTCATCATTGATCACCTCTTGACTCTTCAAGCTAAGCTGTATATATATAATATATAGTAAGAGATAAGTGTAATAACACACAAAACAAGGCCAACCAGTGACAGCCGCAAATAGAAATTTGTCTTTTTTTCTTTTGGAAGCAAAGCTGTTTATCAGTTTTTTGGGGGTTTTTGCTGTGAGTTTGTTTATCTGCTGTGGTCTTTCAATGGCTGCTTTTGTTAGGGCAGTGAAGCTCTTTGTCTGTTTGGTTCTTTGGCTTAGCACTCTCTCTTCTCTTCAAGGTTTTTTTCTGCTTCTCTCTGCTCTTTTTCTTTTCTCATCTTTTTTCTGTTTTTGATTTTTTTCTTGTCTGTGTCCTGATGTTGTATATAAATAAATAAATAATATATATATACATGACCTTTTTTTTTATAGTTGAAGGAGTCATGATTTGAATTTAATCATTAAAATTAAAATGTTAATATTTTATCAACATATTATGCATGAAAAAAATTCTGAAAATAATCTTATTTACAGCTGTTTTTTTAGTAAATTTGACTTTAATTGATCCTTTTCATCTTTCTCTCTTTTCTTAATCTGTTACTTTTTTATTTGAACCATGTATATATATATATTTAAGAAGTTATGAGTACAATCATAACCATGATTACATTCATATAAAAATTTATTGAATCATATACCTTAATTGTAGGAGAATCTTTCATTCTTTTGATCTCTTACCTTGCACATATATATATATATATATATGTGCTGGTAGATAGATTGAAAAATGAATAAAAAAATTACCTTATAAGAGCATTTTCATTCTTCAATTAGTTCAATATATTTTGTGCTTTGCTTCTGGAAAATTAATGTCAACTGTTATCTCCCTACTCCCCTTTAATTATTTTTTTCCGTATTTTACCTCTGTTTAGTTAGATGGGACAGTTGGATATGTCTTTTCATTTTAAACTTATGACCCCTAAGGGTTTTTTTTTTTTTTTTTTTTTTCTATTTTGAGTTAGGAAATTAATTACCGTAGGAGAATTGAGAATTCCAACTTGAATATATAACAATGGGAATTTGCAAAATGCAGGTGCCAAGGATTTGTACGAATTTCGATATCCATTCATCAAAAGGGCAAGTTCATTTTCATCATCATCATCATTCTCATCATCAAATATTGATAAAGTATCCTATGACTACATAATTGTTGGAGGTGGCACAGCAGGGTGTCCCTTAGCAGCCACACTCTCTCAAAACTTCAGTGTGTTACTGTTAGAGAGAGGTGGAGTTCCCTTCTCTAATGCCAATGTCTCCTTCCTCAGCAACTTCCACATTGCCTTGGCAGACACTTCTCCAACCTCTGCTTCCCAACCTTTCATCTCCACTGATGGTGTCCTTAATGCTAGGGCTAGGGTTTTGGGGGGTGCCACTTGCATCAATGCTGGCTTTTACACCAGAGCAAACTCTTAGTATGTTCATTTCTACTAATCTTCATTATCTTTCTCTCTTTTTTTTTTTTTCTTTTGTTTTTAACAAAAAAATTAGTACTAATAATTCTATTAATTAAGGCTAAAATCTAATCCAATTTAGGTTCATTTAATGACATATTCTATAGTCCATTGTATTGTAACAGTGGTCCTGATTGTCATTAATGTTTGCAATTACTGTTTCTGTGAAAATAAAAGGAACCAAAATTTCAAACAAAATTTTCTATACTGATTTTTTTTTTTTTCCAATTTTTGGGAATTTCCATGGAAACCCTACTCTACATGTGCATCCCCCTTGAATTCAGTCTAAAAATATTAAAATTTTGGCAAAAGTAGCTTCAGAGGTTACTAGATTAGATATATGAAGATGGTGGTCATGTGAAACCGGAAAATCTAGATGTCCGCAGCAAAGCATTTATTAACTTTTTAGGGTCCCCCATATTGCTAAATTTTAATTTTGGGGTAATTCCCCTTTTTTAAGGCAAGAAATGATCATGTCCAAACAAAATCAATAAATAATCAAGGGCCAAGATGTTTCGGTTATCAAGATCAATTAATTAGGGTATTCTGATGAGTAAAAAGAAGGCATATGTATTGTACTGCAGATCAGGAAAAAAAAAAGACATTTACTCATGATCCCATCTTCCATTTTAATAAAGTACTCTTTTCTTTCTTAGATATAGTTTTTTTTTTTTACTTTTTTTATTTTTTGCGTACCTGTTAAATGTTTGGATGTGAACTCTTAGTGGGTCTCTGGCCTTGATTTGCTTTCTTGCTTGAGGGTTTGATTAGATAAGGTCTACACATTTGGCCCACCTTAAGACTAGGATTTAGGCTACTTTTTTCTCACAAAGAGCGACTTGAAATAGAAAAATGAGTTACAGGTATAAAAATTTAAATTCTAAAATTTATTAGATATTATTTTTTTAATCAGTGACTGCTAAAATTAATTAAACTAAATTGTGAATTCAAATTTAGTGATTGTCTCTTTATTATTTTTTCCTTGGTGTTTCTGCAGTTTTTATTAGATGAATTTTGTGGCTATGCAATCTTACCGTTCTTCTATCCTACCAAACTGTTTTGTTATATCACAGTAAATAAGACAGGTGTCAGCAAATTCTTTTTTGTTATAATTTGTGGGGACCACATTGGTATGTTCCTGTTTTTTTGGAACTTTTACAGTTAGCTGCAATAGTTCAAAGGTCTAGCCTATTGCCAGTTGCCAGCTCTGGAAATTAAGCATTGATGTTCTAAGCTTTGTTGGATATGTATATATGCAGTTTCATTGAGAGAGTGGGTTGGGATGCAAGGCTAGTGAATGAGTCGTATCCATGGGTAGAGAAACAAATTGTTCACCAGCCTAAACTAGCACAATGGCAAAATGCCTTCAAGGACAGTCTTTTGGATGTTGGGGTCTCACCTTATAATGGATTCACCTACGATCATATCTATGGAACTAAAGTTGGAGGTACCATTTTCGACCGCTTTGGCCGTCGTCATACTGCAGCTGAACTACTTGCTTCTGCAAACCCCAAATTGCTTACTGTCTTGGTATATGCCACTGTCCAAAAGGTCTTATTCGATAAAACAGGTATACATGCCAATAGCTGCTTAATTAAACTAAAGTATTACTGTTTACTAGTAGTTTCTTGGTAGGGTTTCAGAATTTCTTTGCTCAAGTTTTCGACTTGTATAATTTCAGTAATCAGATAAGTTTATAGGTGCAAGAATTCATATCTATCTAACAGTGATGAGATGAGAATTAATGTCTGATACAGGGAAGAGACCAATGGCTATGGGAGTGATATTCAAAGATGAAAATGGGAACCAGCATCAAGCATTTCTCACCAACAATCGGAGGAGTGAAGTCATTTTATCATGTGGTGCAATTGGAACTCCTCAAATGCTAATGCTTAGTGGTATTGGACCGAAAGCTGAACTCAAGAAATTTAACATTTCCATGGTACTTCGCAATGAGTTTGTTGGCAAAGGAATGGCTGATAATCCCATGAACTCAGTTTTTGTCCCCAGTAACCGACCGGTGGAACAATCCCTTATACAAACTGTAGGTATTACCAAGAAGGGAGTGTACATTGAAGCTAGCAGCGGATTTGGTCAGTCCCAGGATAGCATTCAATGCCATCATGGAATATTGTCTGCAGAGGTAAGCGCAACTACTGATAATTCACTAGGAAGGGACAATTAATGTAAATTTAATTCCTATAATGTCGAGTCACAGAATTCAGGGATTAGGAATGTTTTTTGTAGGATGGTCTATCAGAATGCAGGGTTTTGTCCTGATGGTTTCTGTCTCTTGTGATATTGACCAGATTGGCCAGCTCTCGACGATTCCTCCAAAGCAAAGAACACCTGAAGCCATTCAAGCTTTCGTCAAAAGAAAGCGAGACTTACCACACGAGGCATTCCAGGGAGGTTTCATTTTAGAGAAGGTTGCCAGGCCCATTTCCACAGGCCACCTCAACCTGGTCAACACCAACATTGATGACAACCCTTCGGTTACCTTCAACTACTTCGGCCACCCTCGTGATCTGCGGCGCTGTGTTAATGGGATCCGCATGGCTGCCAAGGTTATACAATCAGACCGTTTCACAAACTTCACAAAGTGTGACAAACCAACTGTAGAGAAGCTTCTTAACATGAGCGTCAAGGCTAACATTAACTTTATACCGAAGCATACAAATGACACTAAGTCCCTACAGCAGTTCTGCAAAGACACTGTGATCACAATTTGGCACTACCATGGAGGGTGCCACGTTGGCAAGGTGGTGAATCCTGACCACAAAGTTCTTGGCACCAACAGACTCCGAATTGTTGATGGCTCCACATATAGTGAGTCTCCAGGAACTAATCCTCAGGGCACTGTCTTGATGATGGGCAGGTAAGCTTTGAATACACATTTAATTAGTCATACCAGCATTAACTACTGAGAAAAAGGTGGGGCACAATCATTATTTTTGTGTAAACCTTGTTTTGTTTACAGGTACATGGGAGTCAAGATTTTGAGAAGACGACTAGGAAAAGCTGCTTGTGTGTAATGACTAGAGACAAGCTGGTAGCATTTGGAGAGCAGCTTTTGTCTGTAATAGTAGTAGGAATGCAATGTGATTTTGTTAGTTTTAGCAAGCACGTATGTATGTAGCGAATAGCTTGCTATGGGAAATTTAGCATTCCCATTTGATTTGTGATGTTAATTTATGTCATGAACTAGTCTTAACTGTGCTCCTAATGGTTGGTGCCAAGATTGATGAAAACCCAAAAAAAAAAAAAAAGAAGTATGTCTTTAGCTATGTGTTGGTTTTGATGTTTCTGGGTACACCATATAATCAAAGATTTAAGGTTTCAAACTTTGTTTCTTAATGTTTTTCTTACATTTTTTAAGCAATCAAATTGAAATTATATAATCTAATAATCAAATTTTACCATAACTTTCTTTTAAGTACATGATAAAGAATCATTTATAGAATTTTAATATTTTGTGTGATTTTGGTTCTATTATTGGATTCAACTTATAGAGACATTAAGCTTTAAAGGTGAGAAAATTGTGACGTCTCTAATCTCATATTTTATGATATATATATATATATATATATATATAGAGAGAGAGAGAGAGAGAGAGAAATTTAAATCCAAATTTATAAGGTATTTTTTGTAAGATAAAATTATAAAATTTTCAAATTAAAACAAATAATACATTTCATATTTAAGTGTGAATCTTCACAAAAATTCTAGCTCAAATAAAGAGATATTGGCACATTAAATCTTTCATACAATAATTTACTGTCATGATTTGGTGTTTGTTTAAAATATGATTTATTTTGACAGGTTATCCTACTTGTTTTAGATGAAATGAATATTTTTATTAATAAAAAAGACAAAGCATTAAAAGATAATGAAAAGAATTTGAAGCACGATAGGCTTTGAAATGATAAAATGGTTGATGGCACTGATCGTAGAATGAGATGCAGTTTCTGTTTATATGAAAGTCTCTCGTACAATAACAACATTTTCTTCCGCGATCCAAGGCATTCAATAAAGTCACGCAGTGAGCCTCTGAATTGATGTCATATTTGATTCTTCATTATATGCCAGTTAATCAGTTATTATTGGTATTCCTAGCATTGATAAAAACCAAAATTTTTTAAAATTTCATGACAAGGAAGAACATTTCAAAACTTTTCATGTGATGCATATGACAGATTTTAAGCATCAATCGGTCTGCATTCAGTAAATTTCCCAGTTCTTGTTCAAGAAAACCAACTCTAATTTCTCATGGAAGTTATTATCACTTTAATGACAAGGCTTTTAGCAAAATTTTAGTAAGACCCTGGCCAAAATTTGACAGAAAATCCGTGCTCACTTCGACTGCCTCTTGATAAACTTCTTATTCTTTGCCAGAAGTGCCTTCTACTTCCTGTTCCTAGAGGGCCAGAACATGAGTGCCTTCTGAAGGACCCAGGTTCCTGCTCCTCAAGTCCTAGCGGGACTCCTAAAAAATCTGATGCTGACAGTGCTATATTGCTCTCATGACTAAAAACATAGCCCGGTGCAGGGTGATAGGTCTCTGAAGCTTCCACAACCTCACTTGAAAGTCTACTAACCTTACTATCTACAGTGGTAGGAAAATCCTCCTGGATTCCAACTTTTGATTCTACCTCCTTTTTCTCATCAAATTCATTACACACTAGCTTTAATGCTTGAACAACTTCACCCATAAAAGGACGATGAGATACTTCGGGCTGCACACACATTGACGCAATTGCTGCTACCTTGGCAATGCTATCAAATGAGATATCAGATTTTATAGCTGGATCAATGACTGTTTCTAAACCTTCCTTAGCTGTGAGGAGTGGACGAGCCAATGCAACAAGATTTTCTTGACCTGGGGGCTGTGACAAATCCACAGGTTTCCTCCCTGTTAAGAGCTCGAGTAGAACCACACCGTAACTATATACATCACTTTTGACAAGAAGGTGACCAGTCATTGCATACTCTGGAGCCAAGTAACTGAAAAATGAGAAGTTTACCGGTGATAAATCTTCTGGATGCCAAAAGAATGAAAAAAACAATGAACAATAAAGCACTAACATACTACATTCTAAGCAAACCAGACAGCTGATTCTCAGGAGAGTATGCAGGTATTATTAAGTAAGCTTTGTTGAAAAATGACAACTGGTTATGAAAATTAAAAAGGAATGTTTCAGGAATGATGGTACAGAAGCATTCATACCCAAATGTGCCCATTACATGTGTTGAGATGTATTTGTTCCCTTCATCTAATGCTGTTCTAGCCAATCCAAAATCTGAAACTTTAGGAGTAAAATCATGTTCCAGCAAGATGTTGCTGGACTTGAAGTCTCGGTGTATAACCCGGGGGCTGGAGTCTTCATGTAAATAAGCTAAGCCTCGAGCTGCACCAAGAGCAATCTTCGTTCGAGCACCCCAGTCAAGGGGATCAGTTTCCTTGTCAGCTCCTGAGAAAATAAGGATAGAGAATTAAACAGTCTCTAAGCTGTAATGTATAGCGATCTAATCACAAGCAATAAAAATATAAAAGGGGGTTTTAGTTATGCTGAAGATATTCACCATGTAAATGGGATTCAAGACTTCCATTTGGAACAAGTTCATAGACAAGACAACGTGTATTATCTTCAGTGCAAATACCAATCAGTTTAACCAGATTTCTGTGGTGCAAGCGGCTAAGCATCTCCACTTCTGCCAAGAATCCTTGTCCTCCACGTTGATTCTCCCTCTTCAGAACCTTCATAGCCACTGCAGCTCCATCATCTAAAATACCTCTGTAGACAATGCCAAAACCTCCTTCACCAATCACCCGGGAAGCATCAAAGTTATTGGTAGCTCTTTCAATATCATTTATAGTGAAGTTCTTTGCCAATCCTGTATATGTCATCCCACTAGAACTAATGGACATTGATGCAGCACTTGACATGCTTCCTTGCATCACAGCCCTAGCAGCCCCTGTTGAATTTAAATGTCATAATTTGTCACAAAATGAGGTCTGAGTAAGCCCAAACAGTGCTTTTAACTAAGTATGACTGATTAATAGAAGAATAGCAAACCGGAATTTTTAAGTCAAGGAAGAAGAAAGCTTGATTCCCTAACAAAATCTGGCAACAAATTAAAAATAAAGGAAAATTTTGATTGGAGTAGGTGAAATTACTTTAGGCATGTTGTATATTTGAAAGCCAAAACTCGTTCTATGAGCTTAATAAGTGATTCATAATTTTGTACTGTCTTCTGAGAATTTAGTCGTAATGGAAGTACCTGATGGTTTTGCTGGAGAAAATGTTATAGCTTGGGGTACATGTTCTGGTTCTTTGATGCAAGCTCCATATTTCAAAAGAACAAGCCAAACAATCCCCAAGCATACAACAAAAGCTGAAAAAGATGACAGAATAATCACAGCTATCATGCTTCGTGTAAGCCCATCTCCCTTCTTCTTAGGCACATCAACTCCTAAAGGTTTTACTGCTTGCCCATGATTGTTACGGCTAGAGTATGGGTCATCATCTATAGCAGACACACTGGAACTTGCTGCAGGTGGGGAGGGTGGAAGACCTGCGTAGGTTGAAACACAGAAGTGACATAATAGCATATTAGTCTCCAAAAGTCTCAAAAATCACAGTTTAAGTTTCTTTCCCTAGGAGCCAAAAGAAACCTTTCATAGGCCAACAAAAGTAATGCAGGTATTATATAATGTAAAAAAATGAAAAAATGTAAGGAAAGTGTTAAAAAATATTTAGGCAAGTAACTTGGAAAATAGTCATTTCTTCTTAATTCAGAATTATCCTTTCAACTATCCTAAAAGCCAGGTGGTTTATGAGTCTTCCAGCAGGTGCTTCAGCTACACAATTATCAGCTTGAACATCATGCTATTTGATAATCATCCAGAAAACACCCAAAAGAATGGACAATTTATATATTACCTGGATAGTGAACGTATAACACTTCATAGGGACCAAAAAGGGAGGCCTTTATGAAGACCTGTCTGTTCCAAAATTTCTTATAGATTAGTAATGCGGTTGTATAGTCAAATTTTACTTCCCATGGTACCAAGTTAATGAGAACGGTACTTTTCTCTAGCTCCTGACTAGCTGCATTTGCTCCCATAATGCGAACTTGGCTGTGGTTTAATCTTACACTAGCAGCAATTTCCTGAGCCAGTTCTGAAACCAAAGGAAAAAATGTGTATATCGCAACACCAAGCTGAAGCTTAATTTGAATTGGCCAGACACAACCACAAGGTGATCCAGGAGGAGTATATGTTAGGGGCTCGGTGCATGTCACTGACGTACAATCTGCAAATGGCATCAAATGTAAATTATTTGTTCTCACTATAGGAGGATTGCTGATCTACAAAATCTAATGGAAATGCTGGACGAAAACCCTGGTCAGATAATATAAAATTTACAGGTACCTTTATTAGGAGGTGGAGGTGGTAGTGCCATAACCACTGAAGGTGGTGGAGCCTTCATCTTCTTCAGGGAAGAAGCAATAGGAGAAATTGCAGGTTGAAGAATGGGCACTTCTACAAACATGATCACAGTAAAATAATTATTAATAATCATTGTAAAGTTAGTAAAAACATGCAATATTAAGCAAATGAAAAATGTAAGCTATCCCATACTATGAAAATGCCTTGATGGATCAGCAGGTGATGGTACGGGTGAAACCCAGCTCGTAGTGGAATATTGAGAAGGGGAGACTGCAGGAACTGTAAATTTAGAAGTATTTGAGAGTATATAAATATATGTATCCATTAGCTTTAATCCTCAAGAATAAACAAGTTCAAAACAAACAAACAAGTATTCAACAATATGGCGATGGGGGCTATTCAACAGAGAAAACCAAACCTTGCTTGCTGTGAGCGGGTTGATGAATCGAATAAGAGGGTTCGGGAGCAGAGTTTCTGAAATTTTTCCTTGCGTAATGATGCTTATGAAATGAGTGTGAAGGTGAGGATGCAGGACCATGCATCCAATTCTTTTCAGGGGCTCCAAAAGATGATGCAGTGGGTGCAACTGAGATACCCGAAGGCTTCAAGGGATTGTGTGGATGGAGGGCTACAAATTAAAGAGAAGAACCCTCATTGATGGTTTCAACTAGAAAAGTCAATTCTAAGACGGTTTCTTTTGGAAAGATAAAAGCCATTCTAGATTATTGACTCACCTTTAGTTGGAGAGTGATCCACGGAAGATGAATGATGGAATACTTTGCTAGAAGGGACAGCAGCCAACTTTCCATTTCTTGTCCTGCCAAAGCTGGGAGGAGTTCGTGTCAGAGAGGGGGCTGGATCTGTAGCATCATTTTGAAGCAGACCCAACCAACATTAATTAAGGAGCATAAAATCATTAGACATGATCAGCAACAACTGTGATGGTATGGAAACACAATTAACTGGAAAGTTTCACTCTTTATTTTGCAAAACCATTTTATAAGATCATAGAAAGCACCATGGTCTTGGACTGTAGGCGCCAGTTCATATAAAATAGGGATTGGTGGATTAAGGTCTAAGGAATAAAAGTCTGAATGGAATTTAAGATCCAAGAAGAAATCAAACACTTGGATATATGCAATCTTAGTCCATCAAAATCTCATTTTGTGAGGTTCACCTGGTTGTTTAGATGGTGCTCGACCTAGTCCGATAGGATGAGCAGCTGGTGTTTCTGTTGGCATTCCTCTTGGTGGCCATACAGCTCTTACTGCATCAAAAAAGCAATGGAACCAAAAAAGAGAGGGAGATTAAGCAGCATTATCCATTAGCAAATGCTTGAAGTTCGTAACATCAATGATGAACCTCACAATGAATATAGAGGCAACACTGGCATGATTAGCCTTCTAGGCCAGTATTTTAGGGGGGGCAATTTTCTTTGCAGGACTTCAATAGACATTTTTTTCTTAAAGGTATACATAATAACTCTGAAGCTTTACAATGCAATTCATATTCGTTTCCATCTGCTATATAATGGCCGCTCAAAAAGCTTCAGCAATTTATTGCTTCATCAATTTAGTTCTAGAACCATATTCAAAGGCAATTTAAATGGATATACTATGCCAGTCTATTATAATGAGAAACTAAATACCAAACTCTGTGAAAACTCGCTCCTAACTTGTAATTGCACAAGATACATATAGTTCAGTAGGGAAGCAGTTAGAACAAGTTACTGTCTAGATAGTGGTTCAAAATGTGACAGCTTACACAAGGTTCCTCCATTATGGGTGCAGAAGCAGGGAAGTTAGAGCTATTATATGGCCACATTACAGCCTGAGAGAAAGAACAAGTCTAATGCACGCTAGTCAAGAATCTAATAGCAAAAATTCATTGATGTCATGTGACCCATAACAGAATACAAATGAAAGCTTCATGGTTTAATTTTGAATAACGATTCACAGAGCCAAGAATCATACAGTTAATAATAAAAAACACATCGAAGATTATAAAAGGTGATGGCTTTTATTACAGAAAGTAACTTTATTTCAAAGGCTTGCTTTAGTTATCAAACTTAAAGTGTTTAGATCAGGCTCACACAACCATAAAAACAAATATTTTGATTGGAAACGAAGAAGCGAGGAGGTCATGGTCAATAAGAAAAGAGGCAAGCAGGGATTAAAACAGAATGTCAACAAGGCGGAGCCCATAACAGACTTCTAATCAAATAACTGCAGAACAAAGATAAACACTGCTTGTGAAAGCAATTTATGGGGATACATTAAAGATTATGCAAAACACTAAAAAATTTATTGATTGTAGGTGAAAAAGAAAGAGGATCACAGACTATTGTTCAACTGAGTACCTTGTAAATTTGGATTCTTTCATGTATCTGTTACTCAACATGAACTTGGTTTCACAAAAGATATACCTTTTGAAAAAATTGGACTTTCCAACTTGTAAATCTCACAGAAGTTTATAACAGCACTTAATAATGCCACAGATCATGATGTTGTCAAGTTTTTAAATAGAAAACTGTTGGGTTTTCCTAAACTGAAGAAAATGTTGGAGTTAAATGAAAAACCACCATGTAGGTCAAAGCAATCTATTAGTTTCTGGACAAGTAACCCATCATCATTAAAAACTCAACAAGCCATGGAACATTCAAACAATTGATCAGTGATAAAACCATTCGTCTATGAATTTGAGACATGACCAAGAAATTCTCCCTTAGAACGATAGATCGATCACCAGGAAATCAGCTTCTGAATAACGAGCCAGGAATCATGAAATTATCATACAACTGACAACCCTTGCCTGGAATGTGAAACCACCAACTTCAATTCACCCTTGCAGGCATTCTTGGTTTTCATGAAATGCAGATTCTCTCCGATACTTAAATTTTAAATTCTGCACTTTCCCAATTTGTGAACAAGCTCAAAGTATATCATCCTACTTCATCACAGAAACTAGTTTAAACATCCCAGATCTTTAGAATGGGTTTTAAATTCAAGTTTCATGAAAATCTGAATTAAGTTTGTCGAACAAATGCATGGATCAAAAATAACAGGCTATGAAACCTAGCTTAGAACAAAACAGGTGTAAACATCATTACCTGATGATCCATCAACTGACACAGCACTGACAGTTATACATATTGTCAACAGCAGGAGTGTGAATTGCAACCCCATTTTAACTTCCAAAGAAACTGGATTCAATCTCCAAGATGTTTCATCTCTCGCAGCCAACAATCAAAGCAAGAAAAAGATAACAAAAACAAAGCAGTGAAAACTGAAACAACACCCTGAAGCAAAGCATGGGTATAACTTAAAGGAACAAACTGTATTACTTTTTTAGAGTACAAAAGAAGATCCACAATGGTACCATCAAAGTAGAGACTAAGGAGCCTGTATTAGGTAGCAAAAAACCAGGTAATCCTTTATTGATTGAGACTAATAAGTATTGATATATGAAGAAGTTTGATATAATTCTAATAGAACTGCAGTTTTTATTATCCAAAACAGAAAAAGAAAAAAAGATCATAGTTTTACTGGAGCTGATCAAAGCAAAAGAAAAAGGAAAAAAAAAAACAAAGCAGAACAGTGAACTTAAAGGAGATTGGTGTAAGACGCTTTTGAGTGAAAGGGTTGGTGGGGTTGAGAGAGAGAATTGTCCTGAAATAATTCTGGTTGAGGTATATTAGTTGAATTTCTTCTGATATTACTTTGAATTATTTGATATGAATTACTTAGTTTCTTTTCAGCTACAGTAGAAAGTTTAGAAATTAATAATTCATCCTAAGAAATCATGACTGCTATATCATTTTCTAAAACTTCCACTATAGCATTATGACATTTGTGATTAAGGGGTGGACCAACTTTCAACGATTTAATCATTTAATGTTTTTTTTTTAAGTGATTGAATATCACTACCTACGTCTGCTTACTTCTCAGTTTTCACATTTGCTTAAAAATATAAATTTGATGCAATGTTGTTGAAACTGTCATTTCTCCTTTCATTTATTATGTCAGCTTTGAAATTATTTTGACTTCAAACATTTACTATAATCCTTTGAGAAATTAAACTGACTTGGATTCAAGACAACCCATTAATTTGAATGAATTTTAGCTAAAACCTTTTTCTTTCAATGTCTTATCTTTTGATTCTTTCTTATGCACAAAAATATGAAAATTTCACATAGAATGTGAAAATTAACCCGTGAGAATGACATGTATTTTCAATAGATTCAAGGAAATCAAAGCTAAGGATATTTGACCCCACAGGAGACAATTAGGCAAAGTTAGGTAGTTATTTTTGGAAGACAATGTTGGACACCACCATCACCATTCACCATTGTTTATCTTTCTTTTTTTTTCTTGTATACCTCTGACAATAATGAAACACCGGGAATCCGACAATAAGAGCTTAAATGTGTCGGTGAATCGGCTAATTGTAACAGTACTGTTCCTATTTAAAATCCAGCTGAATGGTTGTGCCTTTTTTTCTCCCATCTTTTATGTCTAAAATCTACTCTTTTTATGGAATAATTATTATTATTATTCTTCCATTGACGTAGGTGAAGTAGTTGAAGTAGTAAAGTTGCCAACTCCTTTTAGATATTATCCTATCTATGTTTTTTTTGTCATTAATATATATTGATCAACTCTTTTAAGTCTTTGCTTAGGTAAATTGCTCTTTAATTAGTCTTTGATTAGGAATAATTAAAAACTAAACACCCCACTGTAAAGCATTAAACCTCAATCCACTTTTCAATTCATCCATGTCTTTAGACCTCATTTTATTTTTGCTAGGCTTATACCTTTTTAACGGTAAATAATTTTTTTTTATATCTATTTATATTCAGCAAAACAAATTACTTTAAATGATGATTAAATCTATTAGAGATTGTTAGAAAAGCTTGTAGATAAGGAAGCCAAAGAAAAATAAAAATGGCATTCATAAAGAAATCAAGAAAAATGAGGAGCAGAATGAAGAATGAGACTAAACAAAAAACGTCAAGTGCAGTGGGACATCTGATGATGCATACATCTTTCTTTAAACAGTTAAATTCAATTTTTTTTTCTCCGAATTAAAATAGTAAAAAATTAAATAAAAACTCTAAGGGTTATCCATGTAGGCACCAATACACCTAGTTTTTTTCCTAGAATAAGATAATTTATAATTTTATTTTTAAAATTGGAGTTGTTTTAAACTTTCTTCTTAAAATAAGATACTTTATACACTTAGGTTCCATGTCATCATTTTATTTAAGAAAAACTCACAAGACACCTCGTTTCTCTTTTTTTATTTTTTGACATTTTACTTCAAAAATATTTTTTTATAAAAAAGAATAAAAGCTTTTGAATAGGAAAAATGGATATAGAAATTAATATTTGAATTTAAATTTATTGAAAGCTGTTTTATTTTTAAAATATTTTTTAAATAATTATATAAATTAATTAAATTTTTATTTGAGATTTTATAATTCATATAGAATTTCAAATTTTTTATGGTGTATTGAAGCAGTAATTTTAAATTATTTAGAAGTTTATTATGGATTTTATATAAAATTTTGATAAATTTTAAATAATTTTAAATTATAATTAATTAATTATAATATAATAATTAGATAAGAGATCCTTGTCAATTTTCCATACTAATTTTGGCCAAGAAGAACTGTCCATATATCCCACAATCTCTTTAAAAAAAAAAGTAAAATTAAAAGAAGAATATACGCAATCTTTTTATTATTATTATTATTATTATTATTAAACACAAAATGACACCAAAGATTTATGGTAATGGGCTAAATATTCCGAATCCAAATTGCTCCATTTTATTAATGGCAAAAAATGCCATATGGAACATCTGAATCTTGATCTTTTCATGGGCTGAATATTTCAAGGCCGGCCTTCGAAGCCAATGCTAGGCCCTACCTCATTCAAATCTCAGATATGAGAACCTTTAGCCCATTCTAAAATGGTGGGTCCTGTACGCTTCACCAGGCTCACGTTTAGGGTTAAAATAATAGTGCTGCTAAGGGCACTCTATTTTTTTATATTCTACTTTTTAAAATTTTTTCTACAAACAAAATTATTTAATAATCATTTTCATAATTTTTTAAAATTTTATAATTTTTTAAATATAAATTTTTAAAAAATCATATAATTTTTTAGAAATAGATTTTTGAAAAATCATAAATTTTTCTAAAAATTTAACTTTTTGAAAATTTATTTTTGAAAAAGTTTATAATTTTCTATAAATCCATTTCCGGAAAAGTTTCTGACATTTCAGAAATGAATTTCAAAATTTTGTATGAAAGAGAAAGGATAATTAAATAATTTTTCTTATAAAAATAAAAAAATGAGATGTGAAAATAAAAAGTTAGGATACATTTAGCAACACTCTTAAAATAATTTATAGACTCAATTTAATGATTTTATGTAATTACTTTTATAAATTTTAAATTTCTGTATTTAGGATTCTTTCTCTCTTCCCAGGCTGTTAGGATCCAAATCCTGCCTCAAATTAAATTAAAAAAATATTTTCAGCATTTGAATTTCCCATTCATATTTGTATATCTCACTCTTCTTCCTATACCTATTAGAAACCAAAATTCCTTAAAAAAAAATTATAAATTAAAATTGTGCTTGTGGCCTTGATATTGAGCTTAATGTGACACATTCGTTTATTTCATGAAGAAAAATATAAAAAAGGAAGAGTAATTAAAGTTGGAAAAAAAAATTTTTTTAAGAGGAGGGAGTTGAAGAACATTTATGGCAGTTAGAAGGTCAAATTCAATTTTACTATAAGTATCGAAAAAAATGATTGAGTCATTATTTTTGTATATATTTATAAAAATCACAGTCACATGGATGTGTTGACAATAATAAACAAGAATGCAAAACAAAGCAATGGCAGGGCAATTATTTTTATTTTTCTTGGTCATCGCTCCTAAAATGAGGAATCAATTTGTTGGGTTTCATGATTTTTTAGCTGTCAATGATTGATAATGGAAAGCCAAGGAAAGAGACAAGCTGAAATAGGGTAGAGGGGGAAATGCCTTTGATTATAAATATTTAGTCTATGATTTTATTTTTTTTTGTTAGGGTTGAATTAAATTCGAAATTATCAATTTTAAAATTAACTTTAATACCATTGAATTGAACTATCAATTAATTAATTAGTCTATGATAATTTACAATCATTAATATTACCATCACAAAAAAATAATAATCTATTTTTAATTAAACCTTGATCTTTTTTATTATCACAAAGACTGTCGATCTCAAAATTTAAATCTTAATAGAGAGGTCTAAACTCAAGATTAGGTAACATGGAAACATCCATTTTTGTTTGTTGAGAAATGAAATGGCTATAATTAATTAAGCATTGATTCTCATTAAGATGCGTTTAATTCACTTCTCATATGTGTTTTTTTCTTCTCAAAACATGACTTCATTAATTTATTTCCAAAAAATATATCATCTTAGGTACTTTGTCAAACTCGATATCGCTGCAATCACTCTCTCTTTTTCTCCCACCATAAACGTTTATATTAATTTCAACTTCATTTATTTATTATGGAAACATAATTTGCCACTCTCATGCATGTTATCACACGTTAATTTTATTGATTTTGGAATTTATTTGTAGTGCATAAAGAAAAAAAATTTTGCGCCCAATTATAACCCTTAACAAAAAATTAGTGTCCATGAAAAATTTATTAAGGGATGACCTTTTCCTTAATTTTGATGATCCAAACTAAATTAAGATTATATCTCATTAATTCCTTAAAACCTCCTAAATTTTTAGCGACAAAATTTTTTTGTGAAAAACGATGTCATTTTCTAATTACAAATGTTGGAGAACTTAATTCCTATTATTTTGCAATGTATTATGATGAAATTATTGTAACAAATATTTCTTATTTCATATGGCTAAATGAAATTTACTTTTATAAAAACCAAATAGATAAGTGCTTTTATATTCTAATAAATCAACATTTTTAACTGGCAACTTGTGTTAAATAAAAAACACTTAAAATGGATTTTATAACATGTGAAGTCAGCATAAACAAGCAAGGGAATAATAGAAAGGGGAAGAAAATTAAATTGATAGCCAAAATGATATTTGATTCTAACTCATGATTGGAAAGTCACACAAAACTAGACTACTATTACTACGTGTCAACATCACGCTTCCTAAACAAGCGCGTCGGCAGAGCTTTTTCTCTTTGCCATCCTTCCTCCCCTTTCCTTCCCTCTCTTTGCCTTTAATCCCTTCTAATCCGTCCTTTTCTCTCCTCGCCCTCTTCAAAGTCTTCTCTTCCACCTCATCATTTCCCTTCCCAAACACACCCGACCGAACGCTTTTTCCTTTTTGTGCTTAAATTCAAAGCAATCCCCTTCTCTCCCCTCTCCCACTCTCTTTGAATACCAAAACAAAGTAACACTTTTTTCTTTCCTTTCTTTTTTCCCCACCATGACAGACAGGGTTTACCCTTCATACAAACAAGCCACAAATGGCACTGCCACCACCACCGCCGCCAACCCTTCCTTTCCCGCTACTAAAGCTCAACTCTACGGAGCTTCTCGCCCTCTCTACCGCCCAAAACCTAACCGCCACAGTTACCGTCGCTCCTGCTGTTGTTCTTGTTGCCTTTGGACCACCGTAGCAATCCTCCTCCTTATCCTCCTAGCTGCCATAGCTGGTGCTGTTTTGTACGTCCTTTACCGCCCTCACCGCCCTACTTTCACCGTTTCCTCCCTCAAAGTCTCAACTCTTAACATAACCTCAGCTTCCAAGCTCGACACCAACATCAACCTCAACATCACAGCCAAAAACCCGAACAAGAAACTCGTCTACATTTACGACCCCATCACCATATCTCTCATCACAAACGACGGCATCGATATTGGGGATGGTTCATTGGGCTCCTTTGTGCATGGCACTAAAAACACTACCCTATTGAAAGCTGCCATAACTAGCAACCAAGAACTAGATGACACGTCAGCTGGGAAGTTAAAGACTGCTTTAAAGAGCAACAACGGGCTGCCATTAAAGATAAATCTCGACACTAAAGTGAAAGCAAAGATGGGAGCATTGAAGACACCAAAGCTTAGGACTAGGGTTGTTTGTGAAGGGATTAAAGCTACTGTTCCGACGGGGAAATCAGCAACCCCAGCTTCAACTTCTGATGCAAAGTGTAAGGTTGATTTGAGGCTCAAGATCTGGAAATGGGCTTTCTGATGAGAATTGAGAAGAAAAAAAGGTGTGGTGTTTATTTTATTTTATTTTTTGTCTTTGCTTTTTTTTTTTTTTTTTAAATCGTGTTTTCATTTTTAGGTTATAATATGTTGTGTAAATTTGGTGATTGATTGCAATAACAGAACATAGAAAATTGTAATGTATACATTTTTATCTTTTAAATATTTTTTTGGCCTTTCGATTTTTGTTGTTAGTCCTTGTTCATTAGTGTACAAATTTCTCTTTTCCAATGGAGCCAATTTGTAGTATAACAAGTCTTTTCTTTAAGTTACAGAAAAAATTTTTATAAGATAATAGCAATGTTTATAATTTTTTGTTTGGGACTATGTATCTTAGATTAACGTACAATATATATATTTACACTTAGAAGCTATAGGATTGATATTTTGTTATTGAAATTAAAAGTTCAATATTTTATTAATAATCATATAATTATTTATTGATATTGCATAATATTGTATTCAATTCTTTAGATTTTTTCTTAATAGTTATATATTTTCTAGAGGGAAAATTGAAGCTTATTTTAACAAGAAAATTTATATGGATAACCCAAATCTTCTAAATAAGTCATGGAAAACTATTCAGTTGTTTTGCCCTTTTGCTTTGCCATGGCCATTGGGGTCAGGTTACCCTACGGATTGGGCCGACTGGCCAACAAGTTTTGACTAAAAATTGTTGATTTTATCACTTCATTTAACTAAGAGTTACCTTTGACTTAAATTGTATTGACCACGAATTAAGAGTGATTTTACATTTGGAAGTTTGGTTCTTGGCCATCCTTAACATAATAACTAGGCAAAACATTTAATTTTTCTTCTTTATAAACAGCTTTGACTAATTAATTTGTGCTTGCTAGTAGCTATAACCCTGAAAGTTAGCTTCAAATACACCACCGACAGTGTATTGCCACCTAAATTCGGAATCAATTTCCACTAGCCATTATTCAATTTCAAATATAATAACAAAAGATTGAAATTGTCAAGTTGTCTATACATATAAAGAAGTAACTTTGTGTTTTTTTTTTTTTTTTGTTGCTAATACGGCTTCTAATGACGGTTTTGACTTTTCAGCCGATGAAAATACGTCATTATCTTAATGCTTTATGTAAGAAGATACAACGCGCATTGTTAGGTTTTGATTTTGTATCATCTAAGCTGTTTTAATGGTTTATATGAATAAAAAATATAATACATTATAGGTGATGAGAAATAATTTAATCAAATTTTTAGATTTTTTCTTGCTTTTTGTCAACAAAGATTAATCTACGTTTTCATATTTGTCATTCCATTTTCAATACTAGTACTAATATATAACTTTTCTTTTTTATTTTATATTATGATTCCGAACATCTCCTTTTTCTAATTTTTTCACATACAAAAAATTATTTAATATATTAATAATGAAAATATTTAATTTTACAAAAAATTTAAAATGATGATACATATTTCATTTTTTTAAAATTAATTTTTAATTTTTTTTAAATATAAACTAAAAAATGTATATTATTACTATTTTAATCTCATTTATAAAATTAAAATATATTTAATAATTTCTCATAAATAATAAGTAAGTAAAATTGTTTTCAAAATTATTTACTAAGAAGATCCTGTTATGTTTTTTTGTCTTTGACAGAATCTTTTATTTTACCTAAATTAAAAAGAAAAAAAAGGCATGAAGTGAAGTTCTATGTGTGAGGATGGACGGTAGAAAAATGAAAAGGTTTTTCCCAAAACTACATAAAATAAATTTTTTTTATATATAATCTTTTAAAATACTTTTCCGGCGGCTAAAATATACAAAAAAAAAAGGAATAATTCACTGGTTTTGCTTAAATTACAAGCAGTGGTGGGCCCCAATTCTTGGAATTGAAAGACTAATACCGAGTATATTTTCCCCAAGATACATATTAGTAGGTGTTTTATGTTGGCTGGCATGTTGTTCCCGAATTTATGAAAAATTCTCTAATTCATCTCTCCTCCTATCCATTATTGTAATTAATTTTATCATTAAATTTATATTTATATTTAAATATATTTTTATTATTTTTTAATTTTATTATTATAATAATTAATTTTACTCATTTTTAATTTCATTAAAATCTTAGTCACTTAAAGAACAAAAAAAAATGTTTAATTGGTGCATAATTCATACAAATATTAGTGTCGGTGGGGGATTCTGAAGAGTGCAGGAGTACAACTACTGTTGGGCGTGTTTTAAAAGTACGGTCCCAGGCTAGCTCGGTGGTCTCTAGCTAGTGAGTGTGGTATTCTCGATTCTGAAAGCTAGCTAGCCTACCTTGGAAAACACTGAAAGAAAAGTCTTTTCTTTTTTTTTTTTTGTTTAAAAAAAGGTACTAGTAGCATGTGGACGGCATGTGATGATGTGAATAATGCTATTTCAGGTGATTGGATCACATAAAAAAAGTGTACATTTTAGTGATTTTTATATTGACAAAGAACAATATGGAGAAAGAACAAAATTAATGGTCTCCCTTTATATTTTAATTCCTTCAAATCGAAAAGAAAGAAAAAAATTTTCGGATTTTCAAACATTTATTAGCGAGAGCATATTATTTGTGTTACTTATTATATTGTAAATGATTAATCACAATTACAATTATATAACTTTTATTAAAATATTACTTGAAAATCTACATTAATAAATGATGACTCTTTGTATATATTATCATGATCATATAATTATAAATAATATCTTCTCGTATAAACGAGGATGAATTGCTTTATTAGTTAACCCCTCTTTTTATCTCTCTCACGGTGCACTTAGGAGACAGTTTGGCTTTTTTTTTCCAATTATTCTTATTCTTCTTCCTTCAATGATGGATACTTGCACTGAATCTTTGACTATTCATAACCCATATTTCTTTTGCATTAATGTATTTATATAATATAAAATAATAAAATAAATATATTTTAATTAAAAAATTATATATTATAATTTATATTAATATGAAATATAACATAAAATTTTTAAATTTATTAAACTTCTATATAATTATTATTAAAATTTTAAATTATATTATATTAATGATTTTTTTATAACATATTCATATCATATTATTTTATTATATTTTAAATTGATAAATCTATTTCAATTTTTTAAATTATATCACATTCATATTGTATATTTGTATCTTATTTTAGATTGACATGTCTATTTGATGTGCATCCCATTTGACAGCATAAAAGGTTGCAAAGACCTATGAGAAATAATTAAGATCAATAATTAATTTTGGGGTTTTAGCATGATAATTAAGATTGCTAAGGGCATTTATTATATCCAATTTTAGAAAATGCTATATAATTTTTTTAAAGTTATAATTATAATAAAATATTATATTTATATAATTAATTATTACATCATAATCAAATTATAATTATTGAATAATTAATTAATAAATTATAACATAATTAGACAATTAAACCTATACAATAAAACTTAAACTTAGGATATCAATCTTATAATATTTGGGCATTATAATTTATTTTGTTTATATAATCAATAACTAATTAATATTAATTAGTATGTTCAAAAATAGTTGTAATTTATGATGTTGATATATATATTTATATGAAAAATTATTTATCAACAATCATATGATCAATTTGTAGATTGCCGTATTTTTAATTTTTAATTTTTAATAATTAGGTTCAATACAAAATAAGTTGAAATACAAACAAAATTTACTTCTTTGTTTGGTAATAAGAGAATTAGTGGTGAATGTTGGGGAAAAAAACAATGGAGCAGTTAGTGGATGCGGTCCTAAAAAATAAATATTTGACAAGGATATGAAACTAATTGCTATGTCATTTGTCAAAGAATAGATGGTCCTAAGATGCCAGCTTAATTATGTACATATTATTTATCATCCAACTTCTATATATGCCAGATAGGTAAGTAATTTTAATGATAAGAACGGAATAACTGATAAAAAATTAAGAACTACTTTAATCATTCAATTGAGTTTTGGTTTCATTACCATTTTAATTTACTTACTATTTGTGTTTATTTTTACAAAATTCCAAACTTTGTTAGTATAAAATAAAAGTCAAAACTTGTCATAAATTTATGTATTTTTTATTTTTAAGAATTTAGTCCCTATAATATTATTTAAAAATTTTAATTTTTATAATATTATTTTTTAAGAATTTCAATTCAATGACAATACACATTAATTAAATTACTTAAAAAAACAATACTATAAGAATTAAATTATTAAAGTTTGAATAATAGATAAACTTATGATATATTTTAACCTAAAATAAAAATAGGTATACATATCAATATATATATATATTAACATGTCATTTTTTCTTTAATTTTTGTTAATATCGGTGATAATTGGACTGTCAAAACATGCATGTCAAGTTCAAGCTGTGTTATTTTAAGTTTTTTTTATTATTATTATTAATATATTGGAATTAGATTAATTTGGCATGTGTATAACTCATCAACTCGTGATTTTGACGTTGCCAATTTTACTTTATATTTATTCGGAACGAAGATTAATTGGATAACTTCTAGCTATTCTTGTGTATGATTTATATAAAGACGGGTTTAGGGCCAAAATTAAAAGACATGAAAAACTAAATAATAAGAAAGTAGTTGGTCAGTCTACGAAAGGGGATAACTGAACATTGACATTTTTAATACTAAACATGATTTAAAAGCATATTTTAGATTTTTTTTATATGAGAGGTCACAGCTTAATTATAAAAAAATTACAAATATTAAGATTTTAATCTTAAAATATTAAATGTCGCATCTTAAAAATTATCACATGAATTATTGAAACTAAACCATAAAGTTTAAAGCATATTTTATATTAATTATGCTTGTCATGTATTTTAGAAATGGAGTTAACCAATTATAAAATTATGCTTTTATATGCATAAGTTTTTTTTTTATTTAAAAAAGAAATATCATAAGAAAACATGAAATGCTTTATTTTTTACGAAAACAAAATGCATAAGAATTAAAACCATAGCCTTTTTTAAGATTTATTTTTGTTGAAAATTAAAAATTTGAGAACAAGAAGCACAAAAAGGTGACACAAACCAACAAAATGTGGGTTTAAAGTTTTAACTTTCATTTCCTGAAAATTCATTTCATATAATTTTGTATCTTTTTTTAAAAAATGAAAATGTTATATTTTAATTTTATAAAAAATAAAATTATTATTTTTTACTATCTCCAAGAAACAGGCCCAGGCCCAAGACCAAACAAAACCCACTTTTGCAGAAGAAATAAAAAATGGCTCATTTGGTTTAAGGATAGAGAGAGGCCCAAACCCAATCAAGCAGAGACTTGGACTCCAAA